GGATTTATATGGAGGTAATGGTGAAAAATAAATTCGAAATCGATTTTGTAAAAAAATTCATAATTGTAGAAACCATGGGATCTATACTATCTTTTATACGTGTTTGAGCTTAATAATTTGTCTATATTTTACAATCTGGCGTCGAAATTAAGAATATTCTGGAATAAAAATTTTGAAATTTTGCACATGCAAAAAATCCTCCGAGACAAATAAATCGCTAGTAAATTTGTATTTAATAATTGGAATTGATTTTTACTTTGCATTTTTTTTTAAAAATTTTACTTTGCATTTTTAAAAAATTTTTTACTTTGCATTTAAAAAAAATTTACTTTGCATTACTTTGCATTAAATCAATTTACAAAGAGATAATCTAAAATACAAATTTTACGGTGATAGTTTATGATAATTTTTCATATTTGACATTCCCGTGAAGCAAATTTTAACCAAGTAATTTTGCAAATCAAAAAAAAAACATTCTCGCAAAAAAACAAATTTAAAATATATTCATGTTTGTATTTACCTTAAGTGTTTAATTATTAGAATTAATTGTATTTAAAATACAATTAAAATTACAATACATAATTACAATACGTAAAAACGAAATTTGAAGTTTTCAAATTTCGTTTTTATGATGAACAATAAATTCAAAATAAGGTAAAAAAACTGATAATCTTAGTACCTAGTACTGCCATAAGTTTTGACCACTACTCAAATAAATCTAGCGGACTCGGTTTTTTGAATTTTGAAAAAATAGCGATATCACGAGAAAGCCCATTAAATTCCCTACAGAATATACTGAGCACTTTTCCAAATTTCCTCCTTTCGAAGCTACAAGAGCCCAAAGTTTAGGTACCCATAAATAATTCGCGGTACGCACTCATTCCCAGGAATATTAGTCTGATTTCTAAGCGATAGATTTTTTCTCGGAATCAAAACTTGTGTGGAGTTCAGCACGTGCATCTAGCTTCAGTTTGGACCACATGTCATATTCCAGAAGGTTGAGATCCGGCGACAGTGAATTTTGTTCTTGGTCCGAAATGGAGTCAGAAATTTTGAAATTCTACCCTCTCTTTACGATTTTGGCCTTATGAGAAGGTCCTGAGCCCTGCTCGAATATCTTGTAGCTATTTTTTGGTTGGGTGTGGTGTAGTGGATCTCCCATTGGCTCGATTATTTCAAAAAATACCTTCTGACAAAAAATTTCACCTCAAGAGAAAGAAAATTTACTTTTTTGACCAAATCCAGTTTACGCAGAATAAAAAATCACAGGAGCTGGATAGTGTGTCCGATTAAGATTTTTAAAATTTTCGTGAATAATATGGACTGGTAGAGTGTGGACACAGGCCTCGTACTGATTTTATATGGCCTCAATTGTAAAAGTTTGCCTATCTTTCAAAAATATTTATTTTCATCTTTCAAGCGCGTACCGCATGATCTGCGCCCGGCCTCTCAGGGTTCTATTTTTGCTTGGCGTGAAGTTAGCAAGTATTTCTCTTCAAATCTTGAAGACATAAGTTTAAGGTCAAGTTTAGTGGCCTGGGATCTTGTTTTACTCAGCCCGTTCATTTGGAGGGAAATTTTTCTTTGGCTCCGGCATGGGTTCGGCCGAATTCAGGTTTTCCGCGCCTTCGTGATTTTTTGTGACCTTTTTGACCGTTCCCGTCAACTTTTATTTCACTCATTAACATTGCCAGTACCAGTGGATCATTTTATGGTACGGTCGACCATCTTGCGATTAGTTTCGATTTTTATTGAGCAATTGAAAAATGCCGGATTTTTATGCTTACCAAAATGTTTCTGAAAAATTGCAACACGTCGGTTTGGCGGATCTGTCATTTTAGAACCTCGGGTCACAAAAAATTTCGGAACATGGCTTCTGATAGACAATTGCATGGGGAATTCAATAAAAAATACTACAACTGGCTAACGTAACTGGTACTAATGTTTTTGGTGCCCGGAATGCTTGAGACATAACTTATGGCAGTAGTAGGTAGAACAGACTTATTATCGAGAGTCAGCGTTATCTGTCATAATTAATTGACTATAACAATTTGATTAAATTTTACACTTTGGCGTTGAAATAAGCAAATTGTGTAATAAAGGTTTTGAGAATTTTACACAAAAAACATCATCCTGATAAATAAATCACTCAAATAGGTATTTTAAAATAGAAAATTTATTTTTTATTTCGGGTTCATTTGTTCGGAAACAATTCTGAAGACGAAATTATGACCTACTGGAAATGTTTTCCAACTCTACTTTATCTTAAGTTTTAATATTTGGCGTCAATTTGCAGCTAAAAAAATTAAAATTTCCAAAAACACGTCAACCTTCCCGTATCTCGCAAATTGAGCATAGCAACATAACTTGCGAAGTTTTGGGAGATATGCGAGATTTCGCAAAAATTTTGCTGGAAAACCATGGGATTTTTTTTCGCAAATTTACCCAGCAAATCGGCATGTTCGGCTTATTTCGCAAGCTTATTTCGCAAACGCATCCTCACCATCTCCAGCCAGAGAAATTACGAAGTCAGCTTTTGCGAATCCCCTCACGACACAAATTTTTTGATCTTGGCAAGTTTGCTTAATGAGTTGCGATGCAAAATAAGACGTTGTCGTGAGTACGCCCATTATAAAATATATTTTATAATGGGCGTACATTGCCTTTTTATAAAAAGGCAATGTATATCCTTTTAATTTTTAGTTGCACACCTGTTTTTGAAGATTAGTCGCATACATGTTCACATTCATTCATTTAATGATGAATGAATAAATTATTCAGTCAATATTCAAAATTTGAATGAATATTGAATGAATATTTTGTTCTAATTTTTGAATAAATGAATCTTGAGTGAATATCTATTCAATTCGTGTGAATGAATAATGCATGATTATTTTTTTTATCGTTCATTTTTAACTCAATGCTTAATAAATAGGGAAAGTTGAGAAATTCATCTAATACTGTGAATTTTGAATAACATGAATAATGAAGGAATGGTGAATAATGAATAAATGTTGAACAATTAATGAATATTTTTTTTACAAATTATGAATGAATGTATACGGAATGAATATTTTTTTCGAGGCTTCGAATGAATGAACTTTGAATGAATAAATATTTTTTGAACATGCATGATTAGTCGTAGATATTTATTTCTAAGAAATTTAAAATTTGGCAAATTTTTAATGAATAATTCGACTATTTTATGTCAATTTAATAGTAAAAGAAATTTGAGAATTTTGTACATCCAGAAAAAAAACATGTGACAAATAAATTCTTCATGAATATTAAATAATTACTGTTTATTTTTTATTTCAGGGTACACTCTTAATAATTCGGTAAAGTCACGCAGGTAATGATTTCTCGGTAATAAATTTAGTAATAATATTTTACCAGGTAGTAAAAATTCGTTACCATTATGGTAAAACTTTATTACCAAGCCATTACCACACGGTACAACTTATCATTGCCACTTTGGTAGAGTCATATACTTGTGCTTTTCGGTAATGTTTATTACCAGATTATTTACAGAGTAATATAAACTATAGAACACCATTTTGCTACCTGTAGTAAAGATTTGACAGTAATAATTTCTTATAATTTTTCTTACTTGACGTTATTGCGACTAAAAAAATTGATTCCACAAAAATATACGTTTTAAAATTTAAGAATGGCAATGAGGTTCAGTTGCACACATTATTTTACACACAAATTAATAAACAAAGTTTTTCAAAATTTGTCGAATTATTAATTAATATTGGAATGTTTTTGGATATAAGAAAATAAAATATAAATTATAAAATATAAATGATAAAATAGAAATTCTAAGAATTTTGCAGATAGTTGCAAGAAATACTTGCATCAAATTAAAAAATGGGAATGTAGGCACTTTCCAGGAAAAATTACGGTAAATACTTAATCGGAATGATTGATATTTTTTTCATATTTTTCATATTTGGTATTCACAAGAAGAAAATATGAAACTAAAATTTCTGAGAATTCCAAGAAATCAACTTTATTTGCAAAATCTTGTGCCATTAATCATTTCAGCAGAAGAATGCAGTTTATTTTAAATAATGTAATAACACCCACATTACGCGAAATTTAAGCATGTTCATACGTCGCGTATGTATTTACTGCACAAAAACAAGACGGATCATTACATGGTCTGCATTTAAATCGTATTAAGCAGATATTTCAACGGGTTAACTCATTATCAGAGGGCGGCTATGTAATTATTCTCAAGTTTTTTTAATCTGATGAATACCGACGTCAAACTTTATCTGTGTGTTCCCTAACTTGCATAGAACACAAAAATTTCAAAATGTCTTTACACATATTTCTAGGTTTTCGAACACATCTCTGCTATTATTTGAAAAATACTTAAATCTTTTCCATATTTTTTGAAAATACATAAATTTCGTATATATTTCAACGATGTGAGACGAAATTTTTATGTTTAAAGAAATTATGTAAGTCGCAAAATATCCAGAGGAATAAATTCAACAGGGCAAATTTTTCGAAAATTTGTATTTAAAGATTTTTAGACCCAAAGTATATAATACAGAGGATTGCATAAATTTAAAAGCACAAATTTTACGAAAATTCTTATTCTTGTTTTTTTCGTACATAGATAGTTCTTAAATACTTTGATCGTTTTTTCGCAAATATAAATTAAACTTTTCGTAAATACATATCCATCACCTGCTCATAATTATTATGACGATACGCGATGATACGTAGCAGTACCGACGGAAAGTGTGAGAAATAATGAATGACGAAGATGAGACAGAGATTTTACACAAGGGTAAAACCTGATGAATGCAACTAACTAAATAGCTACGTAACAAGATAAAACCCTTGAGATACGAGATGAAGATGAGACGAATGCAATGCAATGAAATGTAAATGAAGAGGAGGAAGAAGACAAAGTGAAGCAAATAAAATGAGAGACCGGCTTCAACAGTTACTTTGATCTGCACATCTTCTAAATCGTATCTACTTTGTTTCCCAGTTGCAAATAATTCAAGGGAGGAAGAACACGAATTTAACAAACTTTCAACTTGTGACAGGTTTCTTTTCCATTGTTTTCTTCTGTTTGATTTTGAAAAAGGAAAGTTTATTTTACTTTTTTAGTTGGAAATCTTTAGCATTTGGAAATCTGAAAGAATGCGGATTAAGTAATTCAAGGTTTAATTAGATAGTTAAGTGGTAGAAAGGGTTAGTTTAGGACATGTTTTTATTACGGGTAAGGAGAGGCAGTGTTGGTGGGGGGAAGAGGACTGATTTTTTTGTGGGGGTGGTGGGAGTGGTTGTGTGTTTTGTGGTGTTAAATAGTTTTGTGGTGGTGGATGGGAGGCATATTTCCTTAAAGAAATTGCATCGTCCGAGAGGAGAAAGAATTACGGAGGATTCCGTGACAGTGGAAGGTATGGAAATTAATATGTAATTTTTGTTAAGAATTCCAGATTTATGGAAACTTTGAAAACTATGGATTGTGTTCCTATAGTTTATTTCTCATAGACTTTCTAGTATGCTGCGTTATGCAAGTTCCAAATTTCCAAATCTTAAAGAATTCTGAAAATAGGCAAAACTATTCGAAATTTCTAAAAATCAGATTAAATAAGATTTAAATTTACACGAATTTTGATCATTCTGCTGGTGAAAAGTTGCAAAGCGAGAAGATGAAGTATAATTTTCATAAATTAAAATTAAAATTGATCTGATCTTTGAAATTTTAAAGTTGTATAACCCTCTGTGTAAAGATTAGTAATCTTAGATTACCATGAAAAATAAAGTGTAGGAGAACTTCGTTTTTTTGTGCAAATTGGCTTTCTTCGACTTTCTGCTAGCAGAAAATAAAATAATTCCGACGTTAAAATATTAAGAACTCAAGCATTTTTTGGAAATTTTATTATACATAAATTTACTACGAGTTTAATATAAAAAAATTTAAACAGCGAAGAAAATCTGACAATAAATTCTACAAGTTCAACTCTCCTCACGTATTTGCATAAAAAGGACTTACAAAAATGCAACTTTTAATGAAATTCTAGTACCACTTTATTCCTGAATTATTTACACAGCAAAAGTAAACACCACAAGATTGTTTAATTACCAAACCTTGTTGACTTTTTAGTCCCCGACTTTGCAAAAGTGGATAAACTTGCAAGTATATACTTACGCCAAGGATTTCGCAATTCGCCAAATTTATGGCGTTCATGAAATCATGTGCAGTATTTACAACACAATTCCCGAATACTTGACTTTTTATTTACAAAACAAATGTAACCAACATTGTTTAAGCAGCCAGCTTGCTCATTTTTAAGTCCCCGACTTTGCAAAAGTGCATAGCCCTGTAAATAGGTATAAAAGTCATGGATTTCGCAATTCGCAAAATTTATGGCCCCCATGAAATCGTGTACAAGTTGTATAAGTACAACATAATAAATATTATGACCAATTATGTACTTTGTTAGGAAGTAAAAAGTGTTGAGAGGGGTACAGAAGCCAATGCACTTTTAGTTTAGGCGTCGTGTCTGCTACTTCCCCAGTGGCCGCGGAAGCTGTGGGGACATTAACGTTGTAGGATGGGGGGAGGGAGGGGCTTATTTGCAAGGGTAGGTGATGGGTACATTAAATAATCGTGGGGACAGAGGTACAATGTTCCCACGCTTCCGCGGCCACTGCTCCTCTTAATGCAATGCAACCAGCTTCCGAATTCTTTCAAGTTCATCACCCAAGTTGATGAGGAAAAGAAGAAGAGGAAAATCGGCTTTTTTTCTCGCTTATAATAAAATCATCAGCTATTATTATTCAAAGTATTTTTTTGCTAAGTCCAGTTATGTCATCATCTTCATCTTCAGATAGGCAGCAATATTTTGGTTTTGTTTGACGCGTCAAAAGATGGGTTTTGCAAATTAATTGCGGTGAGTGGTTAATTTGACAGGAGGCTTAAGATTTAAGAAACAGTATAGTAAAATCCACCCGTTATAAAAAAAAGTTGAATGTGCGAGACAAGAGGTGATGTTTGTTGATTGGGTTGAAGTGATGTGTGTTTAATTACTTGGGAGGAAGGCCGAGATTTTTATGTAAGGATGGGCAAAATATTGTGTAAGAAATACAGATTTTTTTCGAGTTACTTCCGCAGAAATGCGAGAATATGTATGGAAAATACAGGTTTTGTACAGAAATTCATTTTTTATCGGTTCGAAAATGCTTTATTTTTAGAAAATAGTTTAGACAATTTCAAAAATATTTCAAAAAGATTATTTTTTTTTTAAAAAAAAAACATACTTTCGTCCGACTGTTGTCTTCGACACGTAGATTTTCGTCTTCTTGTGGGTGTAACAGCATTGGAAATTCAAATCCTGGGAAGAATCGAGTTCAAAATACTGCACTGCATTTTGACAAAGTTATTTGCCCACCTCTGTCTTTCAATGTCGTAAAAAATTTGTTATTCGCAATTCAATTTATTTTAAAAATTTCGTTGAATACTTGAGAAGAAAAAGGCATCTATGACATTTAACACGATTACAATTCAGAAAAAAAAATTCGGTGTCAAACTCTTAAAATTTTTGAAACCTTGTACGTATGTTAATTTCTCGAGAGTTTAAAAATTTTAAACTTTTGTCAGCACGATGTATACTCCTGGAAACTCGACCCCTGGGAAGAAAGGAGCTGAATATACTTACAATGCGACAGTGTAAACTGGAATCCTCTGATTTGGTTGAAATTTTAAAATTATGTGGTCCAAATCTACGTTTCTTGACACAGTTTGTGCGATGGTCATAATTTGTCAAAATATTTGAGGCCAATCATTTAATAATTTAAAATTTCTTTAAAATAACAAGTTTTGCTTTAAAAATGTAAATTCCAACAATGTGGATTTTATTATGCAACTTTGAACGTACTGATAATTATCAGAAGAGAACTTGTCTAAGAATTTACTTGATTTTCACTCATAAAAATAATTAAATTTTCCGGATTTTTGACTTGCACGCGAAAAATTAATCAGCTTTTGAAAAATTGAAAATGTTATCGTATAATTAAATCAGTCACAAGTTTACAGAACTACACGAGACTTTTGTGTGTAATTAGTAAACCGTCATCATCGTGGTTCCAGATGCAATGTTCAAACTCAATTTTTTCGAAATTTTGGAATGTTTTCTTCCGAGCAAGTATTTTTTCTGATGAAATGTCGGAAATTTCAAGAATGTGGGACTATCATTGGTTGAAATTTTTTTATGTTTCCTTGATAATTGTTGCTCTGTCATATCAATTAGAAAACTTGGGTTTATGATTTTTTTAGAAATTTAAAATTTTTTTAAGGAGAAGCTTAGTCTTCAAAAATTGAAAAATTTAAAGAATGTGGACTTTATTTTTATTATGGAACTTTTGGCTTTTATAATCATGAGAAGAGAAGTTGTCTCAGAATTTGTTTGATTTTCACCCATAACAAAATTCAATCTTACGGATTTTTGACTTACACGCGAAAAATTAATCAGCTTTTGAAAAATTGAAATTGTTATGTAATTAAATAAGTTACAAGTTTACGAAACACGAGACTTTAACGTGTAATTAGTTATTTCAAAAACCATCATCATGAACCGTTCGATTTTTGGAAGTCGACCTTGCCTCAGTTCAAACTTGAACTGACGGACGCAAGGAATTGTGGATTATTTAATGATAGACAAATTAGAGGAAAAGTAGCCATTCAAGTTTTGGTAGCTTTTCGGTGTATGAATTTTTTTCGTATTTTAGAATTGACGTGTTTTGTGTACCTCACATTTTATTTTTTTTGCACTTAACATTTTTCGTAAGTATTTTTTTTGTTTTGAAGGTGTTTTACAAAATTTTTGCGTACTTCGCATTTTACGGATTTTTTTATATATATTTTACGTAGATATGTTTTGTAGTTAAAATAGTACAATTTTGCAAACTTCGCATTTTACGGATTACAAAAATATATTTTATGTAGATATTTTTTGTAGTTTGGATTCTATAAAATTTTGCGAATTTCACATTTTATGGATTTTCTTGCTTTACCGATATATTTTTGAATGTCAAGTTTTGCGTATTTTGTATACTTGATAATTTACGAATTGCAAATACAAACTATGAAAATTTGTCATATCCAAAATACTATAGTTAGTTGGATGCATATTTATTTAGTAATTAGAATTTAATAAATTTAATTTTTTATTATTTCGCTTTAATATGAAGTATTGTTAATATTAATACCATCATTATCTTATTATCATATTATTATCTGCCATAAATAATTAATAACTTATTCATTTTAATTTACATATTTGACGTTACTATGAAGCAAATTGCAACAATAATAATTGGACTTATAATAAACAAAATTTTACGTTTAAAATGAGTTTTTAAACGGTTTTGAGGACTTGATTTCTAAAAACTATACAGTTTTATTTATACTCGACCAAGCTTTAAAAATTTTACGTATTTTTATACTTCATATTTTACAATTTGTTAACAAAAATTAGTGACATGTGAAATCTAAAAATATGTAAAATTTGAATTTCAAAAGAAGACATAATTAATAGGTGAACTTTACGTTACATGCATTTTCTATATTTCATATTTTACGGAATTTTTAATACTTCATATTTTACGATTTGTTAAAAAAAATTGGTGAAATGTGAAATATAAAAAAATAAGCAAAATTTGAATTGCGAAAGCATACGTAAAATATTTCATATTTTACGGAATTTTTAATACTTCATATTTAATGATTTGTTAAAGAAAACTTATAAAATATGTGGTATACAAAAAGTTAAATTCTTTTATGGAGTGTAAAATTTTGTAAAATGCTAAGCTCACATTTTTTTGTAGTTCGAATTTTACCAGTTTTTATCCACCTTCTTTACACAATTTAAACCGGAAATTTATCCAAAATTTCATTTTTTTTACAATAAATTTCCCATTTTTTTGCAGCCGTTCCCCCCACCACGTTGGACTCGTCGACGACCCTCCTCCGCGCCGGGTATGCGTCTCACCTCCGCCAAAACTTGAAAAAAGCCTTCGCCCTCCAACTTTTACATCAAGCTCAACAAAGAAACACGAATAAAAACCATTCGCCCACCAGTGACGAATTTATTTCGAGAAAAACCAAAAAATTGAAGAAAATCAAGAAAAATCAGCAAAATTCGTCCAAATTTCGGGCCCACATTCCATTCTTACCGTTCGACGATGACGAGGATGACGAAACGTCCGGCGAAAATGACGAATCGTCAGATGACGGAGGTTTTGATGACGAGCATAATTTTGCATCTTTCGACTTGGCCGTCACGCACCCCGAGGAAGACCCACATTTTTACCAGGAACGGTACAAAACGGATGGCGGCGGAAATAAAATTGGCGACAAGGCGCCGTATTCCTTGGCGAATTCGTACTTCGATAATGAATATCCGCTCTCCCAGTTGCAAGCGATGGAATGTGCGACACCGACGAAGTCGAAAGGTTGGTAAAAAAAATTTTATAATTTTAGTCAAATTTTTAAAGCTTAAAAAATTCGTTTAAGTTGTGTCACACAATTTAAATGCAATACCAACGAAGTCGAAAGGTTGAAGATTTTGGAATTTTTGTAGTATTTTTAAAATGTTCAAGAATTTGTTTAAGTTGTGTAACATAATTTCAATGCGATACAGACGAAGTGGAAAAATTGGTCGGAAGTTTAGGAATTTGTGTACTATTTTAATTTTTTTAATTCGTTGAAATTGTGTAACATAATTCCAATGCTACATCGACGAAGTGGAAAAGTTGAGAGTTTCAAAGAGTTTTGTTAGAAAATAAAATTTGAAAAATTCAAAGAAAAACTCCTAGAATTGAAATTAGTTGTGTAACGCAATTCCAAGTTTTCCAATTCCCCACATAAAATAAGTAAACTATTTAACAAGAGCAAAAAAAATATATTTAAAAAAGACAAATAAAATCAATTATTTAAATTTACAAAATTACGAATTAATATTGGAATTTACATTTGTTTCATTTTCATTTACAGAATTAAGAATTATTATTAGAATTTACATTTGTTTCATTTTCACGCCAAGTTGTAAATTATGAGAAAATTGTTATTGTTAAACACTAACTTAGGTTTATAATTGTAATAATGCAGTACTCTCTGTTGGAAAATTGAAGTAAATTCTAATGATAATTATACTATAATAATTCGTAATTTTGTAAATTTAAATTATGTAAATTGATTTTATTAACCTTTTTTAATATATGTTTTGCTCTTGTTAAATAGTTTATTTAATTTTTGTGGGGAATTGCAGTGCCGATTTTGTAAATTAAATATTTTGTCATTGGTTTTATTTACATTTTAAAAGATGTTTACTATAATTTTTTTTTGCGTTCAAAATTTACTCGTGGTATAATAAAATTGAATTAAATTCTAATGATACTTACTCTAATAATTCGTAACTTTGTAAATTAAATTATGCAAATTTACTTTATTATGTTTTTCAAATTTTGAACACAAAAAATTGTAGTAAATATTTTTTTAAATGAGAATAAAACCAATTACAAGAAATTTAATTTACAAAATCGGCACTGCAATTCCCCACAAAGATTAAATAAACTATTCAACAAGAGTAAAACATATATTTAAAAAACGGATAATAATAAGATCAATTTACATAATTTAAATTTACAAAATTTACAATTATCATTAGAATTTAGTTCAATTTTCGAACAAATTACTACCACTTGGAACTACTTACTGACCTGTTGTAAGTATTGAATTACTGAAAATTTATTTATATTTTACAATTTGGCGTGCAAATGAAGCACAAAAAGTTTCGAAAATATCCCATATCCAAAAAAACTATAAATAAATTATTATAAAATGGGAAAATAATATAACTTAGGATTTAATGACTTATCATCAAAATCAAATATTTTCAAATTCTGCACAATTATTTCTATTACAAGGCAACTAGTGTTATAAGTACAATTAAACAAAATTGTTCTAATAATTCGTAATTTTATAAATTGATTTTATTATTTACCCAGTTTTTACTCTTGTCAAATAGTTTATTTAATTTTAGTGGGGCGATTTTGTAAGTTAAATTTTTTCAATTGGTTTTATTGTCATTTTTTAATCTAATTTAATGCTAATTTTTTCATTGCAGGATATTGTTCCACGTTCCGAGCCTGTGTTCCGAGCCTGTTTAATGCGGAGGGTGACCTCGAAACGCCAGCGTTGGCGGAACTGGTCTCGATGAGCATTGGTTACTGCACGTCCGCCGTCCGATCCGATTTGGACGTTACGAATCAGTTCTTGAAGAGGAAGGGTCACCGTTTCGCGACAGGTAATCAAATTAGTCACGTGATTATATTATGCAAATGATTAATTAATTCAGGGTGAAATTATAAAATATTTTGATAATTTAGATGCCCCCATTTTTATTATTGTTAAGTAACCCGAGTCAAGGCTTATGCTCCCGTCTTAGTTGCTTGTCTGTCTGTCTGTCTATCGATTAGACTCGTAAAACTTATCAAATCAATGCAAAATTGTGCACATGCAAATTTAGGAATCGAGTTGGAAGATGAGCAAAATGTGTGCAAAAATAATTTTAAAAAAGTTGTGCACACGTGTAGGAATATGAAATATGTTTGGAATAGATGTCCCCATTTTTCCTAGTTGTAAGTTAAAAAAACGATTCTGAGCTTATGCTCCCATCTTGTGTGTCTGTCTGTCTGTTTATCGATTAGACTTGTAAAACTTATCCAATCGACAGAATATTATGCACACGCTAACTTAGAAATCGAATTGGAAGATGATGCAAAACGTGTGCAAAAATAATAAATAAATTGTAATTTTGGCCCGAGTCAGGACGTATATCGATTAAGGTCGTAAAACTTATCCAACCAGCAAACAGAAATTCTCAGTATCGTGCATATCGTGCATTTTTTCAGGTTAAAATACTTTGGATAAGGGACGTATCACGTATCATTAAAAAAATATTGTTATTTTTAAATTAAAATTCGCCAGAATTTTTTTTTCAGGGTAAACTATGTAGCAAGATGGACTGATCTATTACATTTAAACAAATTGAAATTCATCAGCATTTTTTTTCGGCATCAAAGCTTTCAATTGAAAAAAACTTTCACTCTATATACTTTCTGTACCCACAAATGTGTAAAACTGTCTTGTAACTTTAGTTCAACTCAGGACTCCTCAGATCTTTTGTCCGGGTCATGTTAGTTTGTCTGTATCTACATATGTCTGTATATCGACTACCAATGCTATGGTAGTCGATAGTTTGAAAATATGTATACTTTGAAACTTATATTACTCATTTGGTTGGATATGTTTTGAAATGCGTCATATGACGAATTTGGACAAAATCAGGTTAATTATGTAAAGTATTAACTCAAAATAATACAAAATACATTTCTAGGAGGTCCACGTGTTTTGAAAAAATAACACGTGGTTTTGAAAAAAACTAGCACCTGGGTTTGAAAAAAAACTAGCACGTGGTTTTGAAAAAAACTAGCACGTGGTTTTGAAAAAAAACTAGCACGTGGTTTAAAAAAACTAAAACGTGTTTTTTCTTTATTTTGTGCAGTGGCCAACCGAATAATTTGCTGTCCTGGCGTTCCCCCGCCGCCCGAAACTTCCGCGGAGGATTCTTCCGCTGAAAAATTTAACGATTTTCTGGGCGGAAGTGACTCCTTCCTTGAACCAGATGAGGATAACGTCCCTCTTGAAGGCGTATCTTCCCCTCCAAATAAGGTCCCCGGGACTAAAAAGAAACCCGGGAACGGAACGAATCCCGGCATCTTTGTCGACTTGAAGGGCGAATTCGTCGAAGAAAATCCCGACACGGAGGCGGAAGTGTGGCACTCGGAGGAAGACTTAAAAGCCGCGATGAATAAAAAACCGGAAAATGTTATTCCAATCGAAGCCTTAATTCCGGAGGATAAATTGCCGTTTTATGATCCACACACGAACTCGTTTTCGAACCAGATTTTGGATAAATTTGGGGACAAAAATGGTCAAAATTTGCCAAATAATGGGCAAAACTCGCAAAATAGTGGGCAAAACTCGCAAAATAATGGGCAAAATTCATTAAATAATGGGCAAAACTCGCAAAATAATGGGCAAAACTCGCCAAGTAATACCGAAAATTCGCAAAATAATGCAGAAAATTCGCAAAATAAAGACTCTCATGACTCCTCCCCACCACCTCCACCAATAACCGAGCCAAACGACGAATTCATGCCGGAAGGAAGCAGTGACACTGAATCCTCAACCGGAAGTAATGGATTTATTCCCCCCCACGACGACGGAATCATGTCATCAAATGACCCCCCAGATTTTGAAGGTCAACCGATAAGTGACGAACTGACGACGACGGTGCGTTCTTCATCACCCGGTGAGAATTCCACCTTTATAGAAATTTTCCCCAAACCCGTGAATGGTGCTAATGGAAAATTCACCTTGGAAAAAGGGGTCCACGTGCAACCTGCCGCGGCAAATTCAAAAATTCCTGCGCAAACCTCGGTCAATAATTTCGCCGAGAATGTGGTCGACTCGAACAAAATCCTGCTAGTCAGACCGACCAAGAATAAACCCCAGCCGGATGAAAATTCGAGTCAAAAAGTGGAAATTTTTGTGCAACAAACAACACAGACCGATTTTCCCGACGAAATTAATACCCTGCAAAATTTGCATAATGACGATAATTTGCATAATTATGATGACAACGATGACGCCACAAGAACGACGACAGATTTGTATAACAAGTATCATCACGCCGAAGTAGATGACACCTCCACGACGACTCGTTTCGTCGCAGATTTTCCTACGACGACGCCAAATTATGGCGAAATTGACGCCACGAATGGTGCCGGCAAGATAAGCCATAGTGATAACCACCACAATTATGAGAATGAAGACGTCGGAAATTATTTGGCGGACACGATAACAACGACTGTACCCCAGGGGGGAAATCAAAATAATAATTCCCCCGTCCCCCTTGGAGAAAATAGTGCAGATTTCCCTCCACAAACCACGACCCGTTATTACATAACGAATAATGTGGACGAGAATGGTTACACCCCGACGGAAGAGATTGACGGAAGTAAAGAAGCGACACTAGGTTATTTGGATGATGAACAAAGCCAGAAGTTTCCGGAAACGACGACCCCGATTTTTACTTCCGGTGGAGAAAGTGGTATCGGAGAAGGAACGACATTTATTAGTTTGGTTAATGACGGAGAAAGTGAAATTGGTCACGATATTCCAGAAGACATACGTTCAAAAGAACCGCCATATAATTTGAATGACCACGTGACCGGAAATGAAAATGGGATCGGGGATGAACAAAATCATCACTTATTTCCGTCCATAACTGAAAAAAATAAAGAACCGCAGCAGAATTTAAATGACCACGTGGAAGATAAAAACCTGCCCCAGAATTTGAACGAGCACGTGACCGGAAATGAAAACGGGATAGATAATCAACAGTTATTTCCGGTGGATGCGGCGACACTTTCGCCGCAAAATAACGAAAATTCTTTGGATAATGGACCACCTTCTGTTTTCTCTTCGGAGAAACCAATTTCCGGACCGGAAGTAAATACCGGAAGTCAAGAAATGACCGGAGGAAGTGCGGAACCTTCGAAAGAAGGGGAAACCCTGGAGGAAGGAAATCAGTCGATTTCCAACGAATCGAATGTTTCCGATGAGGGCGTTAAACAGTTTGAAACCCCGAAAATTTCGGTGAGTAAAGGACCCCAGATAAAAAATAACCCGGTAAAACATCCTCCCCCCATTCCGACGCCATCACAGGAACCCGAATTCGGTGGGGTTGGTCCGGGTGAATCGGACTTTCAGATTTTATCGGCCTGTGCAACGCAAGATTATTACCGATCACTGGAGGAGGACACGTATCGACAGTATCCGTATTTAGTAAGGAATCGTATTGATTTTCATTTCACGACAACTTTTGTAAATTTACGAGATTTACGAAAATTCCATATTTCGTAAATGCAGGCAAGATTGACGTATGTTTCTTTTGTGTTCGTAAAAATATTTGGGAGGAATTAGAAGTAAACATATTTAGAAATTAATTAAGGCATTTCACGTCATCTTCGTAAACGTCGTAAACAGTAAATTTATTTACGACGATTACGAAAAATCCATGCTTCGTAAGGTTGATGTGTATGTTTCTTTCGTAAAAAATTTTCGTAGGAATTAAAAGTCAGAATATTTTATTGATTTTATTGCATTTCACGCCATCCTTCGTAACTTCGTAACCACGTGAGTTTACGAAGATTACGAAACAAGAACATGCCTCTGATGTATCTTGGTGAGTTTTGCACCGTAACTTCGTAAGAAAAAATTATCTTCGAAATGTTCCCAAGTTTCGTCAAAAGTTCGTACGTTTCGTAAGTTTAAGTGGTTACGGAGTTACGAACGATGACGTGAATCGATTCGTGTAAATGCTGAGTTATATTATTATTTTTTCCCAAAAAAGTTCAAAAGTTCAAAATTTCAAAATTTTTCTCGAAGCTAAATTCATATCTGATATCAGTACAATTAAGTATTACAAAGTTTTACGAAATATTGTTTCGACTTTGAAACGTCACATTTTTTACAAAATTTAAAAAAAAATTATTCCCACACACTCAAAATAAGATAGTAATGAATCATTACCACGCGGAATGACTATGTGGCTCTACCACGTCGGTTACGATTTGTCGTAGAAATGGTAATAATAAGTTCAGGGAAATTCAAATTTAATACATAATGGTATTCACTTCCTTAATATTTGTAATGAATTTGAATTTACCTGAATTTATTATTACCATCTCTACGACAAATCGTAACCGACGTGGTAGAGCCACATAGTCATTCCGCGTGGTAATGATTCATTACTACCTTATTTTGAGTGCAGAAGAAACCACATCTGGCCAAGTTAAATATATTTATTTTTACATAATTTTGTTCCTACTTTGAAATGTGACAATCTTTTCGAAAAAAAGTGAATAAGCAAATTTTACAACATTTGCGAAAATTCTATGATTTCAAAGCTTCTTAAATATAGGCAAGATTGATGCGTCTTTTTCCTCCGTAAAAACGTTTAGTAGTAAGTTATGCTAAATTTCTTATGAAAAATTCAAAATTTCAAAATTTATTGTCACCAAAAACAATAATAGCTAACCAAGTTAAATATATTTATTATTACATAATTTTGTTCCTACTTTGAAATGTACTAATCTTTAAACAAAAATAGATAGGCAAATTTTACATAAAAACGTTTTGTAGAAAGTTATGCTAAATTTCTTATGAAAAATTTAAAATTTCAAAATTTACTTTCATCAAAAATTACCAGATCTGAGGAAGTTCAATAAACTATATCTATTTTTACATACTTTTGTTCCGGCTTCGAAATGTTACAATCTTTTTGAAGAAACTGAATAGGCAAATTTGCAACGTTTGCGAAAATTCTAGTATTTCAAAACTTCTTAAATTTAGGCAAGATTAATGCGTGTTTTTCCTCCGTAAAAACGTTATGTAGGAAGTTATGCTAAATTTCTTATGACAAATTCAAAAGTTCAAAATTGACTGCCATCAAAAATCCCAGTATCTGACCAAGTTCAATTAAATTTAATTATTTTTGCATAATTTTGTTCCGGCTTTGAAATGTAACAAACTTTTTTAAAAAATGAATAAGCAAATTTGCAGAATTTACGAAAATTCTAGGATTTCAAAGCTTCCTTAATAGAGGCAAGGTTGATGCGTGTTTTTCTGTCGTAAAAATATATCGAAGGAAGTTATGCTAAATTTCTTATGAAAAATTCAAAATTTCAAAATTTATTTTAGCCAAAAACAATAAAATCTAATCAAGTTGAATTAAGTATATTGATTATTACATAATTTTGCTACGGCTTAGAACTGTGAGAATTTATTTAGGAAAATTGGATAAGCAAATTTGCAACATTTGCAAGAATTCTATGATTTCAAAGTTTCCCAATTATATGCTAGATTAATGCGTCGTTTTCCTCTATAAAAACGTTTTGCATGAAGTTTTGCTATATTTTTTAAGAAAAAGTTCAGAATTTCAAAATTAGTTCCCAAACAAGCCTACCTAACCAAGTTCAATAAAATATATTTATTCTTACATAATTTTATTCCGGCTTTGAAATGTGACAAATTTGCAACGTTTGCGAAAATTCTAGGATTCTAGGAAAGCTTCTTAAATATAGGCGAGATTGATGGGTGTTTTTTCTCCGTAAAAACTTATCTCACGAAGTTATACTAAATTTCTCATGAAAAATTCAAAATTTCAAAATTTATTGCCAGAAAGAATCACCAAGTTCAATTTAATTTAATTATTTTTACATAATTTTGTTACGGCTTTGATATGTTTGTGACAATCTTTTAAAAAAAATTGGGTAAAGCAAATTGAAAAAAAAACAAATTTGCAACATTTACGAAAATTCTATGATTACAAAGTTTCTTAAATATAGGCAGGATTGATGCGTGTTTTTTTTTCGTTTTCAAAATATTTCTTAGGAACTAAAAGTCAAGAAATTTGGAAATTTATATTATAAAAATTAGCAATTTATACTTTAGTTTAATGCTACAAAAATAAAATCGTCGGTTTTCAAAGTGAAGATTTTTCCAAATGATGTAAATGTTGAGTCCTGCTAAATTTATTAGGAACACTTCAAACTTTCAAAATTTTAAAACTTTGTTGTAATTTTAAAACTTCAAAATTATAAAATTTCAGAATCTACTAAAATTGGAAAAAAACATCTAAACAAGTTTGATCCGATATATTTCTTTTACATAATTTTGTTACGACTTTGAAGTGAGAAAATTTATTCAAGAAAAATGGATACGCAAATTTGCAACATTTGCGAAAATTCTATGATTTCAAAAGTTTCCCAATTATAGACAAGATTGATGCGTGTTTCTTGTCTTCAAAATATTTTGTAGAAACTAAAATTCAGGAAATTTTGAGCGCTTAATAATCTATACAATTTTGCAAGAGTTTCAATTTCTGTTTGAAACAAAATAAATGCGTAAGTGTTCCGATTTTTTCGAAATTATAAAACTTAGAAATTTTATACTTTTGAAATTTTCAAAATTTCTTTCTTATGTGTTTTCGTTCGCAAAAATATTTCACAGGAATTAAAAGTCAGGATATTTCGAAATTAATAATCAGGCTTTTCTTGTCACCCTTCGTAATTCCGTAAACTCACGAACTTTTGACGAGACTTGGGAACAATTCGAAAATAATTTTTGCTTGCGAAGTTACGGTGCAAAACTCTATGAAGATGAAAGCAGGGCATGTTTTTGATTCATAAGCTGTACTGCGTAATTTTACATGGTTGCAAAGGTTGACGTGAAGCCTGATTATTCAAATTCAAAGTATTCTTGTAACTATGTTAACTATGTTCGAGGTTTACGAATATACCCATGATCAAATTCACATCATCCTTCGTAAACGTTGTAAACAGTGTAAATTTGCGACGTTTAAGAAAATTTTATGATGCGTGCTGAAGTTGTCGCAAGAAATTCAAAAATTCACTGCAGAAATTTAAAAATTTAAAATTTTTTAAATTCAAATTTAAAATTACGATTTTAAAATATAATTTGTGGTGCACACATAAGTCAGCACCTTCTTAAATGTGGTAAACGTTGTAAATCGCGTATTGAATTTACCAGATTTACGAAAATGCAGAAAAATTCCACAAGACGGAGGACACTCGAATTTTAAAATTTTTAAAATTTTAAAATACACTTTGTGGTGCGTGCGTACCCTTTTAAGTTAGACACATTCGCCCAAAATAAGGTATTTCAAATCGAACGATTTTTTAAAATTTTCTAAAAATTTAAATTGATCAATTTCGAAGCCAGAATTTATATTTTAAGTAAGAATTAAACATCAAGATATTTCGAGATCAATAAATATAGTCAATATTAAAAAAAAACTTCATGTTTTTGCTTTTAACAAAATAAATACGTAAGATTTTAGGGGAAAGAGTTATCCAATTTGTGTAAATGTTGAGTTATATTAAATTTATTATGAAAAATATCAAAATTTCAAAATTTTCATAGAAATTATAATTTCTGTGTTGAATGATCTGACCAACATTAATTAAATATGCTTATTTTCCATAATTTTTCCCCGACTTTGAAATCTTACAATATTTTTTTAGAAGTTTTTTTTACTTATTTTAATATTTCTATTTTATTGTAAAGACAACTTATCCACGTTATGAAAATGGTGAGTTGCGTTAAATTTATTACCGAAATTCATTCCCAAAGACAAGTTTAGTTAAATGTATTTATCCAAAATAACGTACTTCAAATCGAAAGATTTTCAAAATTTTCGAAAAATTTAAATTTTTGGTCAATTTCGAAGCCAGAATTTATATTTTAAGTAAGATTTAAAGATCAGGGTGTTTCGAGATTAATAATATAATCAATCGTTAAAAAACAGTTTCATATTTTTGCTTTTAACAAAATAAATACGTAAGATTTTAAGGGAAAGAGTTATCCAATTTGTGTAAATGTTGAGCTACATTAAATTTACTACAAAAATTTCAAAATTTTCAGACAAATTTTGATCTTTGTGTCAAGGTTAATTAAATATATTTCTTTCCCACAATTTTTTTACGAATTTGAAATCTAACAATGAGCGTATTCACGACAATGTCGTATTTCGCGTTTAGCAAACTCATTTAGCAAACTTGCCAAGATCAAAATGAGGGTATTGAGGGTAGATTTCGAGTCGCATCGTTAGCAACGTTCGCAAAAAAATAAAGTTTGCAAGTTCGCAATAAAAATTGGCTTGAAAATCAATTTGCGAACTTGCGCATCTCCAGGGCTAGTATTTAGTTCGCAAAATATTTTTCACAAATTTTTCAATGGGAAAAGTCCACAAATCTCCATTA